ACCATAACAGGAGCCGGCAGGAGCCGACAAACCTAATATTGTGAATATTCGAAGAAGAACAAAGTTCTAAAATCATGACACCACACGACTTCGACGATCATCTTGACGACAAAGATGACGATGACTAGCAAGAGAGATAGAAAAGACATTATCAACAGCGACGACTGTGGCCAACAAGGGAGATGGTAAGTTAGAGTTAGAGATTTGAGGTTGATTTTAGGGATTTTTTTTTTGTAATCTTAGAGAAATTATAGATTTTTGTCACTTAAAGGAGTTTTTTAACAGCCGTTACGATCGAGGTATCTAAAGTGATAACGTTAGACACCTAGATTAATCGTAGAAAAGCTTCAGCGTCACTTTGGAAAAAATATAATACAATTTAAACACTTATTTTTATATTAAGTCTTTAATTTAAGGTAAAAAAACGAGTGATGTCAAGCGTGATTAAAAATGTTATAAAAAATATAATATTTTAAGTTGAATATGAATTAAAATGTTACAGTTTTATAAGTAATCTAAAATATTATGAATAAGTCTAAAATGTCATGAAACATATAATAAAAAAGCGTTTTTTTAAGAAAAAAGTGTACTGTTTTTAACAGTTTTTTTTAGGACAAATAATAATAAATTGTGAGTTTGAAATATCAATGCAACGGTTGGTTTGGGTTTTTTACTCATTTTTCGATGATTAAACCTTAGATTCGACATGATTGGTGTGCTTACGTCTTTCTACTCTTTTTACAAATCTCATTGGTTCTCCCCCCCTCTCTCTGTTTACTGCTGTAAAAATATTCACTAATTTACTCCAAAATCAGTGCTCTTTTATGTCTTACTAATTCTTAAACCCCTTTTCAATTAGTATTTATAATATATATAGTATTACCATTGATTAATACCATATAAAATTAAAATAGTTTTATATAAATTCAGGATAGTTTGAATTGTGAAAATAGACAGTTGAGATTGAAAATATAAAATGAGAAGATATTCATTAAAAAAAAAATTAATCCTCAGTCATCTATTTTCATTCATCAAATAATCTTAAATCCATATAAATTAAAGAATTTTATATTCTGTAATTGGATCATAACTATATATATATATATATATATTTATATATATATATATGGAGTATTATTTTACTTGAATTTTACGTGTTTTGATTTAACTCTACATAGTTATTTTAAAAAATAGTTTTGATTCTAATCAACTTTTGGGAAGGATAATATTAAAATCAATTAAATTCAAGTTTATTATAAAATTTTTCCACTCAATTTAATATAATAATATAAATATCATATAAAATTTAAGAATAATAGTTATAATGTCTATTTTTATGTTTTTAATTATTTTTCTATTTTGTTAAATAAAAATAAAAAATTTCATATTTGTTATAGATTAGATCGTGCCATATTTAAGTTTAGGTTAAAAAAAATTTCGACCTGACCTAAGATAATTATATAATTATTCTCTATATTTTTAAGAATATTTGTTATAATGTTTTCTCTTTTTATATATATAATTAGTTACCTATTTTATTGAATAAAAGTGAAATTTTTATATTATGTGAGATCAATAGAAGTTTTAACTCTATAATTTAGATGAGATTGAATCTCCCTATATTCAAATTAGGTCAAGTGGAGAATTATAATTTTCAGATTGGGTTCGAGTCGACAAAAAACATAACATGACCCATAACCATATATACACACACACACACACATATATATAATCTATTTTCACCCATCTAATAATGTTAAAAAAAGTATAAAACTATAAATTTTATACTTGGTATAAGTGATTCCTAAGACACATGTACACACACATATATGAGGTTGGATAAAGATACACGATCTAAAATTAAATTTTTTTACACTGATTTTGTAACACCCCAACCCGTACCCGACCCGAATACGAGTCCAGGGTATCACATTGGCTTTTCAAAGCATATACATTCATAAAAACTATATGAAATTTAAACTTTTATTAACACTAAAGCTATAAATTTGATCAGAGTATTCGTAAGGTACACTTTTTTACATGCCAACTCTTTTGACCCAACAGAATGCATACTGTGAATTTACTTCTGATCTGATCTTTGAGTGGAGATATGCTTCGCTGCAAATTCCTATTCTTGATCCTCTTACTCTTCTGAACCTACTTGTAAAAATGCTTACACGCTAAGTCATAGACTTAGTGAGACATCATAAACATATGATGCACTTTATAACATATAACAATGTATGCATACCATATTCTATCATGCTATCCAAACTCACTTCATTTCACCACACCATATAAAATCATATCAAATTACATATCAAGGAATAAATACATAAGCATAGATCATCATTAACCTCCTTATCTCTTAGCCACATATTTTTATACTTTCTATAAGATTTTTCATATCACAATATTTATTTATCATTATCTATTGATTAATTCATGTGCATATGTAACTTAATACAAACAATAATAACATGATAACATACAATCATGCAACCTTTTTTCATATCTTCTATAGGCCCATGTACATTATTGAGAACTTAAGGTATGTGAGTACATTGAGGTTGTGCATATATGCTATCATCATAGCTCGTATGGGGTCCTACTAGGGGCATGTGAAATTTGTCCCGAAGGACCTATGAATATCCCGAAGGATCTCTGTATGTCTCGAAAGACCTATTAACTCTCGACTCTTGGCATGCCAACTATACACATGGGTCTCACATCACATAACATGAGCATTATTATTAGGTTAATCATTTATTTCTAACACATAGGCATACAACTTATAGTTTTTCATCACATATCATGTAATACTCTTATAGAGTTCCATATATTTTTATCATATTTTTCCTTTCACATGTTCTTGTTTCCATATGATCACTAGTTCATATCACTTAATCTTTTATGTTCACATATCACATTTATATCTCATAGTCATATAAGTTCGTAAATTTATATACATATTTGTATCATGTAACATTCACAATAACATATAAACACATATGCTCATACACCCACATGAATCATAACTAACACATACTTCTATCTATGAATTCATGCATTTTATCATTGGAAATAGACTTATCGAAAGTCTTATTTTCATTTAACATCATATTCCAAATAAGATGCACTTACCTTGGCCTTACTATATTCCAAATATACTTTTATGATTTCATTTCTTTCGATTGAATCTTAACTTGATGGTCGTTCCGGAATTTGCTTAGGTTCAATATCTACATAAATATCATTTTCAAGACGATTATCAGAAGCCTAAATCTTATATTTCGATACGAATAACTTAAGCTAACTTAATGAACCAAAATTCATTTTTCTTTTTAGGGGGTATCGGTACACTACTGGTGTATCGGTACCCAAATTGGGTTCGAAATTCACAGGTATCGATACATGCTTGTGTGTGTATTGATACACAAGTGTCGATACATCCTTGAATGTATCGATATGCTTGTTCTTTAAAAATTAGTCTTAGTGTATTGGTACCTATTCATAGTGTACCGATACACCTGTCCAGAATAGACCTTTACATCCGAAAATTCAACAATTCTTCATTAAGTTTTCTCATATAAAGTCCTTTTTATATTACCAAACTCAACTATAACCATTTTCACTAACCTCTATCATTCCAACACCTTACTATCTCCCATATATCATCCAAATTCTTAAAACAAAAAATCTTACTAAATTTTCTATGTTATCCAAACTCAGTTTCAACACTTGTACTTATTCACATCTATAACAAGTCAAATTTAGTTTCGAATTCAACTTATCAACTCTTTTCTAGAAATTCATTTAGAAATCCCTTCTCTTTAATCTCTTATAACTTCTTCATCTTTTGATTATAAGACAACTTAAGCTTTCCTTAAGCTTAAGTATCACCTAAGGATCAAAACCCACTCTTAAAATCAACAAATAATCAACTAACCAGAAAACTCACCTTTGCTACTTTGGTTCACGGTGGAGAGAAAGAAAGATGGAGAATTCTCTTGAAAACTTTGTTTTCCTCTCCCACAATCCCCACGTGAATATCCTTATCATTTCCTATTTTTAATTTATTCCAAGTCAATTGACCATTTTTCCATTTAATTCATTTCATAATTACTAACAATCCTTCATAGAATATTTCCAAATAAGTCATTGAACTATTAAACTATTCTACTTTAATCACCAATTTATGAAGTTTTACAATTCGATCACTAACCCGTAGTTTGGGATGTTACAGATTTAGGATCGTTGGATGATTGAAAATATATGATTGAGATTAACCGTAGAAAATGAGAAAATATTCACTAGAAAAAAATAAAAAAATAATTTTAATCATCTATTTTCACTCATGCAACGATTACAAATCAATGTAAAACTTAAAAAATATTTACATTATGTAAATGAATCTTACCTCTCTCTATATAAAAGATTTATACTAAATTTGAGATTTGATTTTAAATATTTTAGTTTCTAAAATGATGACATGTTACTGTTATTTGATATTAGATCTTAAATTTAATTCAAAGAGTTCTTATATAAAATAAAGTCAAATTAAAATCTACTAAATGCATTATGTTCCTTAAAAAGTTAATTATATATTCTATTTTAATTCATTAGTGTTTAGAACTTGTTACTTTAAAAAATATTAGAGATGTTCTTGAATACTTTTGAGGTTATAAATTGGAGTCGGTATTTACCATATAAGGGTAAAATATCCTTTTCATTTTATTGCAATTAGTGAAGATTACTTTTTAAAAAAAAATCCAGTACTAATATTCATGTTGTCGGTGTATTTTTTTCCTGAAAATGAAGATAATATTTTTTTCATTTTATTAACTACACAAATATAGTTAACCCTAAAGGGGTCAACTACTTAACCATGGATTAGAACTCTGGTTAAAAACTCAAGTGGTTAAGTAGGGCAACCTCAACCACAGATTTTTTTTATTATCGACAGTCATCGTTCCTCCTCCTCCACCACCACCACCAGCATCAATAACAACGCCGCCTTTTCCTTTCTTCTTTCCATTTCCAAGCTTCTTAGTTTTCTTTCATGGTGTCCAAATTCTCATAAAACCCATATTGGAAACCCTATTTTAATATATATATTTTTCTTTTGATTTAGATGTTAAAGCTATGGAAGTAGCACCCACAAGCACCCCTCCATTAAGCACCACAGCACCCAAATCACCCGACCCTGACACCGAAATACAAACCCGGATTGAACCAACCTCCAATCCCAAATCGTTCACCAACGGTGTCCTCAAGCGTCACCGCCACCACCACCAAGCGCCGCCCATAGTGGTGATCTACAAAGAATGTCTCAAGAACCATGCAGCCACTTTGGGTGGCCATGCTTTAGACGGCTGTGGTGAATTCCTGCCTTCCCCAACCGCAACCCCAACCGACCCAACCTCCCTCAAGTGTGCCGTTTGTGGCTGCCACCGAAACTTCCACCGCCGGGAACCCGAAGATCCACCACCCATGACAATAGCCACCGCTACGATAGAATACCAGCCTCACCACCGCCACCATCCACCACCTCCCACAACTCAGCAGCCATCGCATCGTAGTCCAAACTCAGCTTCCCCTCCGCCGATCTCATCATCTTACTACCCTTCAGCTCCCCGTATGCTTTTAGCTCTTTCCGGCGGCCTAACCGGTGCAGTGGACAGCTCACATTTACAAGGTGTTGGAACCCTTAACACAAATCTGGGTTCCAACTCGAAAAAGCGATTCAGAACAAAGTTCAGTCAGTTCCAGAAAGACAAGATGCTGGAGTTCGCTGAGAGAGTTGAGTGGAAGATTCAGAAAAGAGATGAAGAAGCTATGCAAGAGTTTTGTAAACAAGTTGGGGTTGATAGAGGAGTTTTGAAAATTTGGATGCATAACAATAAGAACACTTTTGGGAAGAAAAGTCAAGCCATTAACGGAGCAGAATCTGCAAACAAAAACAACAACTACATTGATACTGGAATCACCCATGAAGAAGACCATAACAACAACAATGGTCAGAATCTAAACCACCACTTTGAAAGTGTTCATCTTGGTACTAATGGCTCTTCTTCATCTTAATCATGATTATCAATTTCTTTTTCTTTTTAATGACGAGATAATAAGCTGTGAGATAGATTGAGGACTTGTTTATTAGCTGTTTTTTCCCCTTTCTTTTATTTCTAATCAATGATCATGACTTTGTTGAGGATATAACATGGGAAGAGATGTTTTCTATTACCATTTTCTTTGGAATTCTGGGTTTTTGGGATCATAAACATCCATGGTTTCTGTTTTCCAAAACCTTAAAAAAAGTCTGAAATGTTTCCTTATTAGCTTCCATGTTCTGTCTGGGAAGAAGAAGCAGAAAGTGTCATTAAAAAAACATTATCAGATTATTTTAACATATCCCATTAACTTTCTACTAATAATTTAAGGTACAACATAGATGATTAGATGCTTTGATGGGGTTAGGTTTAGGGGATAAAATGATTAGATGCTAATCTCTTGGAATTATGCAATTTAAGGCTGATCTGATCTTTGCTTTATTTAATATTTCAATCCACTTACCTTTTTTTTGGGAAAGATGATGAAATCAAAGTAGCCATTATTGCCTATTATTAGTCTTAGAATTTATAGTACTATTGTTAAGTTTAATTAATATTTAATTTGTGTTGGGTTTTCAAAAATTTATTTGTCAAGATTAAAGATGTAGAGGGAGGTCTTTCCACTAAACCCTCACCTTCATTTAATAAAACTGACATTTTCATTGATGAAAGATATTGGTAGGTTAGGTTTCATAAAATTGACAATAGATCAATAATATAATATAAAGGGTTGCTTGTAATTTATCTAAGGTTAAATTAAAAATTTTATCATTGAATTTTACCCTCTCTTATTTTTGCTCATTGAACTTTAATGTTTTTTAATTTTCTCACTAAACTTGATACATTAGGTTTGTTTGTTACTGAATTTTACTCTCTCTACTATTTTGGTCACTTCGTAGTTAAATAATTAACGACGCTAAAATGATGTCGTTTTAAAAAAAATTACCAAAACGACGTCATTTTGTATCTATATAACAACCTATTTTAATGTCGTTAACTATTTAACAACCTATTTTAATGTCGTTAACTATTTAACGGTTGAGTGACAAAAAATCAAATGTATTAAGTTAGAGAGGAAATTGAAAAGATTTAAAGTACAATAAATAAAATAGGAGAGATAGTAAAGTTTAGTTACTAAATTTGCAATTTATCCTTTATCAAATGATAATTTTTTTATCCTAATAAGTGTTAAACATAATAATAAGGTTTATTAGATTCAGAAAAAAAAAGATTTTAATTATGGAGATGATATGTTAAAAGAATTTCGAATCCTAAGTATAACTGTAAAGTAAATATGAATATAAAAAAGTAAAATTGTGTTTTTTTTGTCCTCTCAGTTACCAAGATTTTGTCTTGATTAATTCGGATCGACTTGAGTTGGACACCTGGCTCTGGTAGAGGAGTTTCCTAGTAGGAATTTGTTGCATACACATGAACTTGAACTCAAAACATACTTAAGTAATATCAAATTACTTACCACTTGAAGCAACCTCCGTTAAAAATAAATTGTTTTTGTTGTTTAGCATGATAATATATATATATATTAATGGGATATGATTCTATTATACACTATAATTTTTTTATTTAGTACAGTTGAATGAATTAAAATAGATAGTTGATATTAACAGTAGAAAATGAAAAGATTTTTTCAGAAAAAAAGAAGTTAATCTCAACCATTTATTTTTACTCATCCACTAGTCTATTTATATAAAATTAAAAGAATTTTACATTGTTTATATCTCATATATTATCATGCTAAACGACACAAACAATTTGACCATTAAGTTTATCTTATTTTATATAGTTTTATAAAATAATTGCAACTCTATATAACATTTTGAGTTTATTTGACATTAATTTTCAAATTAAAACTAAAGGAAGTTAATATTTTTTTTAATATTTCCAATAGAACGCTACCTAAAATGTTAATTTTGTTACCTAATATATTAATCTTTTAACATTTTCGATTGTAACAAAAAATGTTACTTTCTCCATAATATTTCCGGTTACAACCGAAAACGTTAAAAATATTAACATTTTAGGTAACGAAATTAACATTTTAGATAGCGCTTCACGGAAAATGTAAAAACAAAATTAATATTTCCGATTGCATATTTTCTTAGTCTTATATTAAATTGTCTTTCCTTAGCATCTCCATATACGTACACTGTAATCTTAAAATTTAAAATTTAAAAAAAAAATCGAATTGTAAAGTTTAAAGGGTGATTTATGATTCACATCACTTTTGTCCGTAAGTTAGAAAAATATATAAATATTGTATTTAATGTAATAGTAAATATTTTTACTTTATTCAAAAGAAAATACATTGCGTGATGTTTATGCATATAATGATGGCACATGCTGTACAATAATTCGGATTGAACTGTTCTTTTAGACCGTCTCTTCAGAATATCTTTTTATGAGATAGATTTGATTGGAAATATATACAAAGTCAAAAATATAAAATAAATAAATACACAAAGGCTAAAAGATGAAATCTTGAATCCCATATTGGGATTCTTTTACTTAAATATCGCCTACAAAATAATTAATTACCGTTATTAGGACGGTTTATGGACAATTAACCATATCATTTAACATTACAAAATAATTAATTAACCTGTTAATGTAACAATTATACCAATTAACAATTACAATTAACGGTTACGAATTTTTTTAAACATCTCAACCATTATAAAATCTATTGACGATTATTTCTAGAATTAACATCTATTTGCTAATTTGGCAACACACGTGTAAAGTGCTTTCTGTAAAAGGTGCATTTAAATCTTCAGTTTTAAAATTAAATTAGTAGTTTAAGGTTTTAATTTTTATATCAGCAAATAATAGTTTGAGTTAAAATCAAACTCTAATATATTTTATTGTTTGTATTTTAGTTCTTAATTTTCTTAATTCATAATAAATCCATAATTTTTTATTATGTTCCAAAATGGAAAATTCGATCTATTAACACAAAAAGTTTGAAATTAGTCCGTGAAATATTTTTTTTTTGAATTTAGTCCATAAACCAATAACCATTTATGTGTTGTTTTGAGTGTTTTTTTTCCAAAATAAAAATAATTAGCCAACTACTAATGTATTATTTTTATGGATTAAATATATAAAGCTGATACATTTCACATATGAAGTTATAAATAGGTGTGAAAGACTAGGTATTTATTCTCACTTGAAGAAGAAAACATCTTTCAAAATTTTTGTCTTTCACTTCTAAACCTTCACCTGCTTCTTTACTTGACAACTTTCACTGTAACTATTTTTTATGATGTCAAATCTTTCACCATGTCATTAAAAAACATTCAAGTGGACTAGTTGATCAGCAAATTCTAAGGAAAGTTCAATTAAGAAAAAATAGAAATTGCATTTTAATTCTCCATATCATACACTAAATTTTCTCTAAACAATGATGATGACATTACTAGATGATTGACACATACGACTTTCATTCTATATCTAATGTGGAGTTGTATGCAAAATTTATTGAGGTTGATGATGGTGCTTCGAGTTCGAATATTGAACCAACAAAGATAGATGATGAAAAAACAAAGATGAATTATGGAGATCATAAGCATGATTTCAAGTTGTCTATAGGAGACAAAATTAAAAAAAAAACACAAATGATTGAAGAACTGAACATTACTTCTGGCGAGTCCACTGATTATGATGACTAAAGCTTATATTTGAGAGTCATATGTCTATGATTATATTTAATATATGTTGTTTTAATCTCTTTGGGTATGTAGATGGAGAATTCATTTAATGTAACACGTGGTATGATGATTGTAGAATATTAAGATTATGTGAAATGTTTGTTATTCTCATCTCTATAATTATGTAGATGGAGAGTTCATTTAATGTAACGTGTGCCATGATGATTGTGGAAGATTAGAGTTATATGAAATATTTGATGTTTCGTCTCCTTAAGTTTATAAATGATTAAAATTATAATTCAAGTATCTAATACAACATAACTATTATGCATTACACCCCTTAAATGACTACTTAGAATAATGTGACTTTCATGATTTATTGACCTATGTCACTTTCAAGATTCGTTCGTAATGTCCAAGTCAAGTCTAGGGATTACAACAATGTTCATTTATTAAGAAGATTAATGAAGTATTCTCCAAATTGTTTGAAGAGTGATTTTTAATTATTTTTAATAAAAGAACATCCTTTTTAAAATATAAGTGAATAAACAATGTTCATTTATTAAGAAGATTAATGAAGTATTCTCCAAATTGTTTGGAGAGTGACTGTTAATTATTTTTAATAAAAGAACATCCTTTTTGAAATATAAGTGAATAGAAAATACAATCTTTCAAAAATAATATTTTATTTTTGTAATTATTTATTTTAAAATAGAATTCTCTCCATCAAAAAATATTTTGAAGGATGTTATTTGAATATTAAAAATTTAGACTTGTGAATTTTAAGATTTGAAACAACACATCTTTAACAAGGTATAAAATATGAATGTTGTGAGGATGTTAATCTTTCCTCGTACCTAATCGTATTTTTTTCACTTATCAAAATTGTTATTTTTATTTGATAATAAATTTTTATTAAAATGATAATATATTTTTGTTAATCGAATCACACCAAACAAAAAATTGATGGTGATTCCATTATATTTTTTAATTTATTTAGGCGATCTGAAAAGAGTTGCGACATAAAGTGTGCAACTCTTTCAATGTTGGACTTGTCTAAAGCCTTTTCGACTTTATTTCTCACCTTCAAGCTCTGGATTTTAGAGGAGGGTCTGAGTCAACGATGATTCAACTTTTTGACACAAGAAAGTTGCCTCTTTGACGATGGTCGGGGTGAGGCAGAAATGTTAGAGTATAAGACCGAGTTAGCTGTAATCAGTTAATTAATTATCAAGTTGTTAATTCAGTTGGACTATATTGAATGGTTGTAGAAGTTGAGTCTTTGGTTCAGAAACCCACTAGTACAATGGGCTAAAGGCAAGCTTTTGTAATTCAGTTTTATATTCAGTAAATAATCTCTATCCCTAGTTCCTTTGCACTTGCTTTCTCCTATTTAGAAACT